GAGGGAGGAGGGGAGGGTTTGCGAAAGGATGGTGGGGGCGCATACGTATGTCACTCAGCGACCGAGGGTGGGGGCCTGAGGCTGGCGTGTCGATACCGACCGTCTTATGCTTTTTGCGTGATGGGTGGGTGGAAGGACCATTTGGGTACATGCAATGAGTGCGTGAACGATGTTCATGCTGTCAGACTCAGTGCTGGCAACGCACGGCTGCATTCACTTATCATCGATGTGCAATCAAGGGTCTGCCGCACCATCCATTGACCATCTGTCTGTCTGGTGTGTGGGGCCGAGCGAGATGTCTCTGTATAACTCTCTCTCATCGCACCAACACACGGAAGAGCGACAGGCAGACAGATGGTGCGGCAGAGCTCGAGACAGACAGTGCATCCAGCGGCGGCAGAAAGAGAAAGAAAATTCATAGTCAAGAGAAAACTCCACACTGAAGCTCTTGAACGCTTTACCTTGTGTTCGTTCAAGAGGACTGAAGCTCAGCCAGTATGTCTCCGTCTGAGTCTCGCTCGCAGAGGACCATTCGGACTGTTCGAAGTCAAGAAAACTGTAAAACCTCTGTTGAACCGCCTTGAAGCTCAAAGAATGAACGTACGTGTGCCTCGAGTGTGATTTAGACGCATGTCTCAAGTCTGCACCCACTCAGGGGAGGGAGCCCACGGGTGTGTGCCGATCAGTGAGACGTCCACACGATCGACGAGTGGAAAGCAAATAAATAGGGCGGCCATGGAACGTCTCACCGTGCGGTGCGAATTGAAGGAAGACACCACCGCCATATGCCATGTGCCCCCAGGCATACAGACACACATCATGATGTATGTACATCCATCCATCGATCGACCGACACACAGGCAACAGACAGACAGACAGACGCACAGCACATCATATACACACACATCTATCCATCCATCCATCCACCTCTGCCTGCCTGTTCGTTGGGGGCGCCATTACACTACACCGATCCATTCATTCGTACAAGGGGCAGCAGCCATGCAGGGAATGGCCAAGGGAGTCGCCATCGATCAGCTATCTGCGCATATTCGCCTGGTTGGTGAGGAACCCCTGCTGCTGCTGGATTGGCACCTGCTGGTGCTGCTGCGCCCCATAGACCAGGGGCTGATGGTACACCTGCCATGCATATGGCAGCCACCCCACCCGAACACACAGATGTCCATCCATCCATCCATCCATCCACTCCTTCCTCACTCACTAATCAATCGGTACGTTCGTACGGTACCTACCTGTGTTGGGTTGTATGGTTGCTGCTGGTGCTGGTGCTGCACGTACTGCGGCTGCTGCTGCTGCTGCACGTATGCCGGCTGGGGCGGCTGCTGCACATACACTGGCTGAGGCGCCTGCTGCTGCTGCTGCTGCTGCTGCACGTAGGCGGGGTTGTGTGGTTGCTGCTGGTGGATGAAGGGCCCGCCCTGTGGAGGGACGAATTGCTGCTGCGGCTGGCCGTATACCTGAGTGTGCGGCCCACCCATATTCACCACTGGCGGCTGGGCCGTCGACATACGGCCAGCCTGCACACAGCACAGCAAGAGAGAGAGAGAGACACGCATCCGTACACTACACCTGTGCAGTGGTTGTGTGTGAGTGGTTCTGTGTGTGTGTGTCTGGGGAGGGAGGGAGCAAGTATGTCTAGCTGCTTAAGCTACCCGACTGACCTGGTTGGTGATTCTGTTTGGCATCTGGGCCACGTACATCTGCCTGAAGTTCAGCCCTTGGGTCTGAGTTGTCGCAGCAGCAGAGGCCGCCTGCAGTGAGTGCAGTCAAGGCAAGGCAAGGCAACCGACGCCAACCCAACAGCACACACACATACATCCATGTGGACGGGACGGGTGGATGGCATGTGTGTCCGCATCGCGCCGCACCTGTTGGATGACGCTTTGCAAGTTGATCTGCCCCCCCTGGATGGCTTTGCCGCCGTGCTGCTGACTCGGACGAGCCGCACCGATGCTCTGAAACGCTATGTTGCTCGCTGGGTGCACCAACATCACAACACAACACAGTACACGCACACCACACCGGTGGATTCACACACTATACGCCTTTCCTTTCTCTCTCGTTGTGTTGTCTTGCTGACTGACATACATTTTCTCTTGAGAATGTGTCCCCGGTCGCCACCCTGGTCCTGGTTGTTGTTGTGTGCGACAGGTGAGATGTCCTCGGTGTCGGCGTCAGGGTCGGCGAGGATGGGCGGGTTGAGCTCCTCCCCAAGGGCCTTGTAAATGGGGTTGGTGGTGTGGTACAGCGTGTTGACCGCCCAGTTGTACTGCGCCACGTAATACGACTCGCCGCTGAACGCATCAACCTCACTGCTCACACGACGCTGACGGAACAAGGGACAGGGACAGGGACAGATGCCCCCACACAGACCAGACCTGCAACCGTACCTACCTGGCACCAGTATGTGAGGCAAAGGTGTCGCTGCCAGCTGATGGGGAAGACAAAGAGCACCACTGCCGCAGCCAGCAGCATGAGGCACAGAGTGCGATTCAGTCGACGCGCATCGCCGCCCAGAGAGGGCCCCAGGAAGGCCAGCGCGAACACAGGAATGAAGATGGCCACCAGACGAACGATCCTGTTGGCCTGCCAGGTGGACGCATGAATGACACACGGACCTGCGTCTGTGTGTGTGTGCCCCTGTGCTGCCTGCGGGTGTGTGGATGTGTCTGTGTGTGTGTGCGTACGTTGTCGGCAAGGAATGAGGACTGCACATAGGGGCGCACGCACCACCGAAGGAGGATGAACTTGTCCACCTGTTGGGTGACATGGTGGAGCGTTCGTTCACATGTACGGTACGTGTCTGTCTGTCTGTCTGTCTGTCGGTGTGTAAGTGGCCACCATACGTCCCTACCCAGTACATGATGATGAGTGCGAAGATGGAGACGACGGTGCCGAGGGGCAGCACCGGCAGGTACACGGCCGTCACCGTAAAGGTCTTCAGAATATTCGCATATCTGACACACACACACACAGATGAGCCCTCAACCAGTACTGCTTGCCGGGAATGTGTGTGTTCCCACCGCCCCACCGTACCGTCTGCTCGTGTCGAAGGCGGGTCCTTCGTAGTATTTGTTGAACTGCTCCTGGGTCATTTTGGTCTTCTCGACACCAATTTTATTCACTATCCGGTTGGCCAACAGGCGACGGAACTGACACACACAGGGTGTGGTCGTCAGTCACATGCCAGCCAGCAACGGCCAAACCACAGACAGACAGACCGACCGACCGCCGCGCCCACCCACCCAGGATGTGAGGTCGAGTAGATAGAAGAAGGGCACGATGACGGCGTTGAAGCACAGCTGCAGCAACATGTTCTGCATCAACCCGCCTGCCGCGTACCTTCCCGTCCCATGCAGACAGACAGACAGAGAGACAGGGAGGGAGGGAGGGAGGGATGACGGACACACAGCGGATGCGGTGCGGGTGTTTGTGGTTGTGTTGTGTTGTGTTGTGTTGTGTGGTAAGCGACTGACCATTCTTTGGGGTTGATGTTGCTGATAAAGTGTATGAGTGCCGTGTTGAGCACCAATGCCGCTGTCAGCATGTTCATCTCGCTCGCCTGGCCAACACACACACACATACACACACACGGACAGCTGTATATATGTGACGGCTTGTCTCTCTGTGTGTGCGTGCCCTCCCCGCGCACGTACGTCTCGTCCGGTGACAGTGACGTGTCTTTGGTAGGGCACGAGGTAGGAGATGAGCGACTGGAGGCCCACATTGATGCCTGCTATCACGCCAACCAGCAGCATCGACAGCACAAACGTCACGATGCTTCCCCCGAGCTAAACAACGAGGAGACAAGGAGACAAGGAGAGAGTGCCGTTGGCTGTTTGTTTGCTTTGGGTCTCTGCTCACTCACTTCGGCCTTGACGAGCTCTTTGTTGGCGATGGTGAGGCCGTAGGTGGCGCCGAAGGATGCCCCAAGCAGAAAGATCACAATGCCATAGGTCTTGAGCTGCACACACACACACACAGGGAGAGAGAGAGAGAGAGGAGCATTTGGTGTGTGTGTCAGTGTATGTTTGTTGGGTGTGTGGGTGGCCGTCAGTCAGTCAGTCCGACCTTTGCCTGCAGCCGCTGCATGTCAGTGAAGCCCTGACCACACACCCAGGCACGAGAGGACATCCATCCATCATTTGTGTCTTCACACACACCTGACAGGTGTGTGTGAGCCCATGCGCACCGCACGTACCATGTTGTGCCACACAATGTCATCAGGGTTCGGAGCACGCTCAACCTTAACTCACACACACAGAGAAAGAAAAAACTAGAGATGGAAAATCATCTATCCATCCATATGTGCACACACTGCACGTGTGTTGCCTGCCTGCCATTCACAAACCTACCCTGAGGTCGATGTTGCCCCTGAACTTGGGCAGGTTTGTGGGAATAAGGCCGCAGGTGAGCCGATGGAGCTGCACCCACAAGTCGTTGCTCCAACGGTCCAGACAGCTGCGCTGATCCTAAATGAAGTAAGGAAACAAAGAGCCCGACACGCGTGTGTGGATGGGCAGAGAGAGATCACATCAACCAATGCAGGAAAGAATGCCTCTCTGGCCAGAAGGAAGTGAGGTGCGCACCGCACCGCTTCTTTCTTGAGTATGAGGATGGCGTAGCCCGACCCCCTGCAGTGCAGTGACGTGTGCACACATTGAATGCATTAGGGAGGGACATGGAGGAGCTGGACTGACTGATCTTTGTATCTATTTCTCTTAAGTACTAACTTGAGTGTGTTCTGCGAGTCGAGTTGGCTCATCTGTGCGATCTGTGCCTTGACATTCTCCAGCTCAGCCCTCAGGGCTGACATGTCCTACAGTGCACCACATACACACACAAAGACAAAGGCAAAGGGGATCCACCCACACACCCACACACACACACGTGAAACTGCCTGACTGACTGCCTGACCCTCATCTCAAGATGTTCGCCGCCGAAGAGGCAGGAGCAGCAGCCGCCGGCAGCACCACCACCGCCCTCGGCATCCGTGTCCGCCGCCACTGTCCGCTCTGACCGATCCTGACGCACACCAGACCACACGCACAGACACTGATTGACATGACAACACTCACCCACTCACTTTCAAATGCCACCAAAGATCGATCAAAACAATGCTAGATTGTGCTGTGGCAGGCAGGCAGCCATCCCTACATACCTGTCCCCTCTGTCTGGTCTTCTGTTTGGCTTTCTTGCCTATGGCGATCTCGATCTTCTTTTTCCGCTCTTGTAAAGCGAAGTGTTCGGCGACGTCGAAGCCGACGACCACCTTGACGACGGGCACCGACTCGTCACCTGGAGTCGCATGCTCCTCGAAGAACACACTATAGACAGACAGACAGACACCCATTGGCTGCCCTGCTCTGCTCTGCTGTCCCTCCCTGCCCTGTACAGAATGTATATTGGTGTGTGTGGTTTGGTTGCCTGCCTGCCTACCTGATTTCTTCTTCGTCAATGGCGTCCGGCGGGAGCCCTCTGATCATGATTGCGAAGTCGTTGGGGTGGCAGGCCTCCTTGTCAACACTGCGCCGCATCCACTCCTGACGACGGTTGAAGTGAACAACTGGAGAGAGAGAGGGACATGTGGAGGGAGGGAGGGAGGGAGGGAGGGGGGAAGGGAGGGACAGGCACACACAGCAGTGGATGGGATGGTGGCCATGCAGGGTGTGGTGTGAATGTGTGTGTGCCGTTTGCTTGATTTTGCAGACAGACGTACGAATGACGAGTGTGAAGATGGCCACACATGCCATTGCGATGGTGGGCAGCTGGGTGCCCTCATTGTTCCTGCCCAAATTCCCCGCCGTCAGCAAATCTGATTACAACACACAGACGCCCAGGCAGACACACCACACCACATCACATCACACAACCACCAATTAACTCATCAAACAAAACTCCTTCCTACCTCCGAGCCTCGACTCTTCCTTCCAGCCGTCCTCTTTGTGACTGAGTTTGTTCTCTTGGCCGTAGACGACCATGGCAGGGACCATGAGGATGAAATAGCCCACCAGGAGCAGCACCAGCTGCTTCAAGAAGTCAAAGTACATCGGGAAACCCGCGCCCAGCTCGGCGAACTCAAGGTTGTTGCAGCACAGCGGGAACTGCTCCGTCCCCTGCAGACACACAGACACACAGACACACAGAAAGTAGGGTAGGAGGTGGCTTCTCGGCTGTGGTGTGGTGTGGCTGCCTGCCTTTGGGAAGCCCGATGCAGTGTAGAGGTGCTCGGTGTCTTCGTCGGCTTCCATGAGATGCTGCACATAGCCACCCAGCCTACGCACTTTGCTCCACCTGCAGCAAGAAACAACAATAGCGAAGCAATCACAGCAATCAATTACTCTGACACACATGGCTTCCGGCCGGCATTCGTTCATCGGTGTGCATGTGAGCCCTCTCTCTCCCTCTCTCCTCTGTCTGTATGAGTTGATGAATGCGTCGCGTCTGCTCTTTCTCTCTCTCCGTCCCATGCTCACGTTCCATGATCCTTTGCCTCCTCTTCGGACACGGGCATCTTGTAGGGTACACGCTGACACACTGGGACAGAAAGAGGAAAACCCCTAAAACCCTAAATTTTTGAGCCTTGCAGCTAAGCTCGCAGAAGGCTCGCACTGCCGGCACTTCCTTGGGGCGTTGCATTGGTGATTATCTACCAGAGAGATTGGTGTAAGTAAGCAAGATGGGAAGGCAAGACTGTCTCGTGATGAGGTGCGCAGCAGCGGTATGCCTCGTCGCTGCGGCATCGGTGGGAGTGGAGGGATTCTCTGTGGCGCCAGCCATCCACACAGACCGGGTACGCACCAGCAGCATCAGATCACTCATTCCCACTGATTGATCCTTGGTTGGTTGGTGCTGCAGAGATCTGGTGCAGCGCAGCCCAGCCTGCGAGCGGCGCGGCCACACACCACCACCATGGGCGCCGCCAACCTGCAAGTACTGAGAGAATATCGGAGGAACAGAGCTGTTGGGCTGGCGTGCGTGAATGGAATGCTGCATCTGTGTATCTATCTGTTTGCGCCTGTGTGTCACTCACCCCACCCAGGAGGGTACCGCTAGCACTCCGTGTGGCCGTCGGTCTGTGTGGGTGGAGCGTGCCGCCCTGACGGGGCTGGCGAGCATCATGGGCGGCCTGCCACTTATACTCACGCAAGAGGAGGCCCTCGCACGTACGTCACGAAGGAAGCACACAAACCAAACCCACATTGACTGACTGTTTGGCCCCCCCCCCCCCCCC